ATTTCAGTCACTTCCCTTGCTTCCCACATGCAAATCGGGCCTTTCTGGTGCTGATTGGTGGGTGGATTTGTGCATGTTCTACAACCCTGTTGGTCTCTTCAATGATTTTACCTGTGTGGCTGGGAGTTTCTCCTACTGCCTCAACCCCCACTGGTGTTTTCAATCAGTGGTTTGAGGCTTTATTTCCCTGTGCTGGGGCCCTTGGTTGTGCAGTCTATTCCACTCCCCAGTTGTTTCTCTCAGTTTATCTGTGCATGGATGTGGGACTGCCCAGTCCACAATCTGCTGCCTTGCCTGGTCTGCTGCCACTGCCTTGCCCGCCCCAGTCCTCCACCCACCACCGTACTGGGAGTCCTCTCTGCCTGGCTGCCTGTCTCCACTCCTCCAATGGGTCTGGATGAATGTTTCTTCTTTAACTCCTTCCTTATCAGACTTTCATACCGTTTTATTTTCTGTCAGTTCTGGTTGTTTTTGGTTTTTCAATTGTCATCCTTTTTTTTTGGTTGTGCGAGGAGGCACAGTGTGTCTCCCTACACCTCTATTTTGGCCTGAAGTCCCCAAGCCTTGGTATTTGTTTTTCTCCTCCTTCACCCCAGGGAATTTTAATGAGCAGTCAGAGCATAAAAGCATTTTTGGAGGGAACTACAGTAGGGACATCTCATGTTTGTAGAGGAATTGAGGATTTACAAAGTTCTTTTGCGTGTAATTTTTTTTACTGAATGTCTGCAATTATTCCCTGAAGTAAGAAGTACACCCAGGTAAGGAAATGGGCTAAAATCAACAATTAAGAATTGAAGGTAGCATAAAAAATTAGTGGAAAAGATGGAAAAAGAGCAAAGGAGTAGATGGAAAACCTAGAACAGGTGACATTGTAGAAACTGTGTCATTTATTAAAATATAAGATAGTGAGCACTTTTAGAGTGACGTAGCTATTAGGCATTATGCTAGGTGTTTTACAACTATTTCATTGGGCCCTGACGAGAACTCAATGAAGAAGTTAATATTATTAACCATTTTATAGATAAGATGCTCCCATTTTACACAGATTAAGTAAACTTGCTCACAGTGTTATGAGCGGTAGAGTTGAAATCCAACCCCATGAGGTCTGACTCCAGATCCATCCAAGAACAAGAGTGGCCAGTAGTGCCAAGGACTCAGAGAATTGGTCAAGGATGACCAGACCTATAATGTGTACATGGCATCTGTCAGCTGAAGATCTTAGCTTGAGAATTTGAGTGAAGTTTGAGAGAAAGGGTGGATAGGGCTTCCTTCTCCATTTATTCCTGTGTGGTCTGGATAATTGTGCATCACACAACTCTAGGAGGTACCATTTGCCTTGATCATGACAGGAGTCACTCCTTTTGGAGTCGTGAGGTATATGACCAGCACAGCCCTATGTGACAGCTCTAAGTAAGGGTTAGATGGTGTCTATGGGATACACTCCCACTTACTTGAAAGAAGCTGATGTTAAGGGGGAAACAAGACTGGGTAGGAGTTAAAGAAGACCTCTGAGAAATGAGACAGCCTGCCTTTGTTTGTTTGTTTGTTTTATAATATGGGAACAAACAATTTGAGCATATTTCCATGGTAAGGAGCATGGTGTAGTCAGTCCCAGCTTCCCTGAAGAGTTATGTATAGTGCCCCCTTTTCTTTTACTTTCTCCTGACCATATTATATGGTCACCCTAAGTAGAAGAACTCTGGGACAAGGAGAGGCAGAAAATGTATGTTAGAGGAGGGTTGTTCATTTGGACAAGGTTCCGGAGACAGAAAGAGTGGTTTGGGGGCAGGTAGACAGCTATCTTGGAAGGAGGAGCATAGGGCTTCCCCTGAGGCAGGAGGTAAATGAGATAAGAGTAAATGTGGAAGCTAATGAGTTAGGGATTGGGGACAAATTTGCAAAATTTCTTACTTCTTTTCTCTGTAAAGCAAGAGGCCATAAGGTCACAGTTAGGGTTCACATTCCATGTTCAATTTGTTTTATTCTGTTAGCCCTGAGGCTAACAGCCTTTTCATAAATTTTACAACCTTTTCATAAATGTGTTTCCATTGGTCTCTGTAACAAAAGGCAGACGTGCGGATAGATGTGAGCTTAGCACAAACAAACTGCTGAAAACACATGCCCAGAGAGAAGCTGGCTTAGTTCTGTCACTATCACATATGAAAATGTTAGCAAGCAGGAAAATAGAGTGAGACAAATCTATACCATATTTTAATGTAATATTCTAAAGGTATGTACTTTTCTATTTTTTATTCATTTTTTATTTTTTAATTTTTGTAGATGATAAAATCAAGTAAGTCACCCAGATTTACTCATATAGTAAATGGCAGGGCAGGATTTAAATCCAGGATTCACATTCATAACCAATATGTCATTTCTCTCATCTGTTGTTTTAAGTTCACTTCAGGCCTTCCCTTTAAGTTTGTCATTGAGATAAATTAATCATGCCTTAGTCTTCCCAAAAGGATGATATGGCAATCTGATAGAAAGGCCCTTGATGTAATAGACTAGACACCCAGAAAAACAGAGTGATCTGTTCTCTTAATGCCGCTACCCCTGGAAGACGGTTAGGTGGGCTCCCTATCAAATCTCCAATGGACATGCTGGAGGAGGCACCTACTACCTGGATTACTCAGTTATGGAAACACAGCCATGAAATTCAGCCACATGGGCAGTTGTTCAATAAGGCCTGACTCAAGAACTGAATCAGCACTGACAGAGGCCATTCTCCAACTGTCGTGACTTCCCTGTCAATGTATCACACTGAAAGGCATCAAGAGCAAACACAGGGCTTTGGAGAAACCTCTCCTTGATTCTTTATTCTACTCTCTTAAATGTTATTACATTGCACAATATGTTTATTGAGAAACAGTGAAGCTATCTCCATTGGTGAATAGAAAAACTCAATTTGAACAGTGTGAAATAATTATCAATCAATCAATCAATCAATCAATCAAAAAACTAGTGTCAAAATGACTATGGTAAAGTTTATGGGATTGAAGACGCAGAATTTATAGTTCCTGCCAAAATTAGTGTTAAAGAGAGTTCTCTTATCTCCACTGATGGGAATGTAATGCTTATATAGGATTTTTTATTTAATTGGGTTGAATTTGAACTCTTGGCACTGAAAAATTTTTTTCATTGACTAACCCTATGATCCAGGGCTGATTTCTATGATAATGGAAATCAACAATACTGATTGTATTTTAGGATATCAGTTTGATAATACGTTTTATACTTATGTGGGATATTTGTCATTTCTTAAAACAAAATTATGTAATGATTCAATAATACATAAAGCCACCAGGATCCATTCGGTCTTTCTATCTCTTTAATACCTTAAAGGAAACTCATTCTCGTGTTCATCTGAAACTTAGAGAGAATATGGCTGTTTCTCAAGAAGTTTCTATTTCCTCATTTGTTCAAAATGATGGAGATGATGTCATGTGTAAAAATTCTGCCAGTTTGAACATTAGCTTCTTCAACAGTATTGGAAAAAGTAGGGTCAGGTCACAAAGGAAGGTGTTGTGGGACGTCCCCAAGAGACAAAAAAAAAACAAAACAAGCGTTACTTTTATGGTGGCCTATGAATTTAGACTGCACAACATCCATGGTTGAATGCTTGCAAAAAAAATTGCTTAAAACTTTTACCATTAAAAAGAATAACTCTTGTGTTTTCAAAAGTGAACTCCAGCATTCACACAAAAATTGTCTTCCTTTCTGTTGGCATATACTTTGTCATGGGAGAAAAACTGAGCTAAGCCTTGAATATCATTTCTGCGTTCATGAGACATAGCTCTGGGTCTGAACATAATATTAAAGGGTAATCTCTGGCTTTATAGAATCACAGAACTGGGAAAAGAATTGAAAAGGGTTCAATGCACTTGTTGACAATGTTTTTTGAGTGTTATTGATTCACTATGCCAAGCTCTGGGGATACAAAGACCCTTAAAACCCCAGGGTCATGACAGTGAATAAGCTCCCAAATGAGTCTTCCAAAGGAACCAGCAGAAAAATGAGGAAGTGCTGCTTCTGTCCTTGCCAGAATCTCGGGCCCATGCCCTGAAGAAGCCGGGATGCACCCACCCCAGGTGGAGGCCACCCCAGCTCAAGGCCACCCCAGCTGAGGGCCAGGCAGGCCTCCCTGGTTTAGTCCCACACTGGCCTGGACTTTACTGTGCTAAATGCGCTGTTTCTGCTGGCTCAGGGTCAACTGTTAGAAAATGTTTGTTTATTATGCACAGAAGAAGCCTCAATCTTATAAAAATTATCAAAATGCACAATGAGCAACTACGAAGTGTAGGTTTTTTTAACCTAATAAATGAGTATACACAGGCAGGGACAGCTCTGGAATTTCTAAATATGAGCAGTTTCCTATCTGGTTGAAGTGTAACATGCATGCCAGTGTGTTTTGGTGCGTGAGTGTGTTGTGGAAGCTGTGCTTTCATAGCAAACCCTGTTTTTTTATTTGGATTGTATCTTTACTCAAGGAGGGTTGGTGAGATTATTGGGGAGGGGCTCAGTCATCACTGTGTACCACTATTGTTTCAAGGGTGTATGTACATATTATAAACATGTAGATAGAGCTATAGATACATGGAAGGGCTGGGGTGGGGGTGAGGATAGTAAGTTGGTTTCTCACTGGTAGATAGCATTCTAAGCAGGGAAACCCTTCAGGAAAATAACTTGGCTATGCCATTCAAAAGCCACAGAAATGCGTTGACTTTGACTCAGTGACAACAGTGTCTGAACTCTGGCCTAAACAACTAATTTAAAGTGCAGACAGGTTTATATGCACAAGAAGTGTACAATTGCAAACAATCTTCATGGCTTCCACAGGGAAAATGGTTGCATGAATTGTAGGACATTGAAGCAGTGGAATGGTATGCAGCCTTTAAAAATGAGTAGAAGACTGGGTAGCCATTTGGAAACATGCACATTCTTTAATGTTTAAAAATGAGTTTTGATTTAGTATTTCAAAGAAAAACTCAGTATACCATAAACGTGCAATCTCATGTACACCAAAAACGTGGAAGAAAATATACAAAAAAAAAGCCAGAATAGTTTTTCTAGTTTCCAGAATTTCTATATTATCAATGTTACTTTTTACTTTAAAAATAAAAGAAAATGCATATTGGGTTGAATATATTATGCAGCAGAGTGACTAAAAGTCCTCCTTGTTTTCTGTAGAAGATTGTTGGTTGGAGACAAGCTCTGTGTTAGGAGTCAGTTTGCTCTTCTATTAAACTGGTGGCTTCCTGATCTGTAAAATGAATAGTTGAGATCCGATCATCTCCCAGACCCCTTAAGAACTTTTAAATTATGTGAGCGCAAGAGGTTGTACACATGACAACTAACCCCCCAAATACAGACAAAAGGTACTATTAGAGTTCAAAAGCCTTTTTCCATCCTTCTATAAAAACAAATTTTATCACGATATTCCCTAGTTCAAAACCTTTCAATGGTTCCCATGTGCTGTCAGAGTAGATCCAAACTAATTTGTAAAACCAAAATTGCAAAGCCCTTGGTGATTGCCCAGTCTCTTTCTCCTGCCCCTTTCTTATCCTACCCCGATCCACTCCCACGCAGTACTCTGAGCTTCAGCCACTTTCCTTCCCCGCACCTTCTTCTTTAGCCTCTAGTTTAGGTCTTGGCCCATGTGTTCTCTCTTCCTGACCATGCCATTGAATTGTGCACCTAAGAACATAGTAAATCTTATATTACGTGTATTTTAGCATAATTTTAAAAATAAAAAATAAACTCACCAGCTAATGTGTTTGATTCAATGGCTTTTAGTAGACTTATAGAATTGTGTAACCATCGTCATAAATTAATTTTAGAATGTTTTCATCACATTGCCCCACCCCCCCAAAAAAACCCTACCATACTCATGAGTAGTCATTTGGGGGGAGATATTTTTAACAGATCACGGGCGTCATGTGCCAGTCTTCTGGGACCTGACACTCAGAGACTCTTAGAAGGGACCTTAGAGATAATAGCTCCACCTACTCAGATAATGGAATGGAGGTTCAGGGAGGTAATATCTTGGCAAAGGTCGCACAGCTGATTTGTAACAGAACCAGGTCTTTTGATTTCCCATAAAGTTACTTTTCATAATAAAAAAAAAATGCCATGTCACTTGCTTTCTTCAGATTGATACTGACAATTGGTTAACCAGAAGAAGAAAATGCTGCCCTTCCCTGTTGTGGACAGTTGGGCTCTTTCTGTAGCCTCCTGTCTCACCTGTCTGAGTCTGGAAGCAGAGAGTGGAGATAAGAGAATCTACACAGTGTTCAGTAATGCTCTCAAGCCTTCTCTCAGGGAAGAGTTACAATGAGTTTTACTGAGAACAATGTCTCAGTGTCTCTTATAAAAGTGATTGGAAACAGAGCTAAGTGCAGTGACTTTACTTGAAGTATGTGGTCTTTTGCAGTGGTGGCAGCAAACAGCAACATCCTGTCAGAAATGCCAAGGTTGTGGGCTGGTTGTGGTGGCTGTTACAGCCTGGCCATACAGTCCTTGAAAAGCAGCAAAAGAGATGTGAGTTGACGCTTGCGTGAGCCCTGCCATCTTATGCTCCTTGCTTTCCTTCTTACAGTAGCTTGGAGGCCCAGCAGAACCTTGGTCAAGGCAGTTGTTGGATAAAATTTGGCGTGAGGGGTAGGTTGGGGGACTAATTCTGCGAGCAAGAGCCTTCTAAATGTATTCCAATACTCCTTCTGAACTCATTGGTTAATTGAATCCCTTTCAACTGCCCTTATTTCTGGAGGACTGAGGTCTCTGGAATTTCTAAACGTGGAAAATGAATAATCAAGTACCAAGGCCATGGAAAATCATGGAGCTATAGACTCAGAAGTGTCTAGACAAAGTCCTGAGGCCTAATTGTAGTGCGATTTGGGCCTTTATTTTCTCTTGGTATTTTCTCCCAGTATTTGCTTTGGTTACCAACCTAACTCACCACAGGATGGGGTAGCCCTGAGCAGTACTGGGAATTTGCTAGACTGTTCAAGAGGCATGTAGTTTATGTGTCCTGTGAATTACCACCCTGAGACAAATGAGACTGAAGAGGTCACTGTGGGGAATGACAAACTGCCAGACAGAGTTTGCTGTGAACAGTGCCCAGATTACCCATTTTTAAACTCCTGATGCCTAGCAGTGCCTAGCACAGTTTTCTGAATGAACAAGTACTAACATTTCACACCAAATGATGCATTATTACTTACAAAGCAATCTATTTTGCCTGCATAAATTCTTTCTACTTTAATGATGGAAGGTAGTCAAGGCAAGACTGTCTTACAGATAAGGTCACAGCCATTCATTGCAGAGGTGGCTCTCAGACAATAAGACTGTTGGCATTTTTACACAGGTGTGATATTGAGACTGCCCTTCCTAAAATACTCTGCCTAAGCACCAAGAGAGACATAAATATGGATTCAGATAGACATTTGTGGTTTCTGCATTTTGTTCCTAAAACTGGGGTACACACATTCTTCACGTGTCTCTAATGGTATTATTTTGTGTATTATTTGCTAATCACTCCAGGTTTATAGGTTTTCAATTACATTTTGAGTTAATTAGAATTTAGGGGCTGGCCTGGTAAACTAGTGAATCCCTGTGTAGTTTGTAGTAGGTATTTCGTGATGTAGCTTTAGCATTATTCATTATTGTATCTGATGCAGTTTTTGGTAATTTCAATTAACTATATTGTAGCTTTATGGCTCTGGGTCTTCAGGAAACACATATTCAAACATTTTCTCTGCTTACCAAGATCCACATTCCTGTTGAACTTGTATGACCTCATTGGAAATCAATGATTGCCTCTGATCTTCCAATTGTAATGTTGAGGAGACAAAGGAAATCACTATATACAATGCTTTCAGATTGCAGGATGTGGAGAGCGTGCTGTCAATAAAACAAATGATTCTGCTTAGAAGTAAACCATATTCTAAATCTGTGTGTAGATTGTACATGAGGGAACTTCTCTGTGCAGAATTACTTCCCCCCAAATAATATGCCAATCCCACTAGACTCCTGGGCAGAGGATGGGCAAAAGCGAGCTTTCCTTTCCCAGCAACTATTACTAGGAGGGGCGTGGCTTCGAAGTGTGCGTTGGTGTGTGTGTGGGGGGGGGCGCGGGAAATGCATGGACTACACTTCCCGTGATGCTCTAAGGTGGATTCCGTAGTGACGCACTTGGTGTCCGCAAGGGGGAGTGCGGGGGTGGCACTAGCCAGTAAGTGGGGGTGAGCTCCCTGTGTCCCCGGCTGGCTTTGGGGCAGACGCGCTGCCACTACCGCCATGTTGGCATGAGGGACGATGACGGGAGGTGGTTGTGGCTTTTGGGACTGAGAAGTGGAGGAGAGACAAAGCCGTGAGAGGAAGCCGTTCCCTGGCTGAGGAGAGGAAAGACCAGCCTCTTCCGGAGACCAGCTGGCGTCTGCGTCGCAGAAGCTCACGAGGCCGGGGACGGGAGGGGAAGGCAGGAGGGGAGCGCGGAGGAGCGGAGACGATGCGCCCCGAGAGCCGCTGCGGCCCGCAGGCGCCTGTGGCCTGAGCCCCGAGGGGCTGTAGGTCTCTCCCCGCCCCGCCCGAGTTCCCCCCACCCCCGAGCGCTGCCCGGGGCTTCGGGCCTGGCTACCAACGAGTTAAATGCCCTTGAGAGTGGTTTCGGGCGGCCCGGCCCCAGCGGCGCGAGGTGAGCCCGTTTCTCCCCGCCGGCCACTCAGCTTACGCGTCCATGTGTAGCCGCATAGTTATCTGTGTACCTCCGGTCGGGGCATTCTGCTGCTTAATGAGGACTCCAGCGCGAGTGTGAATCACCACCGGCCTGCATTTAACCCCCTCCCACCGCTCCTCGCCCGTGTGTCACTCGGCTCTGTCCACCTGGCGCGGCTGGTCCTGGGGCTACTGCTGACGACGAGGACCACAGGCTGCTCCGCCGCCCTGGTGCCCTCCGCCCGGGTGTCTCGCATCCTGCCCTTCTGCGCAGAACCTTGGCCAGGCCGCCGCTCAGACTCCCAAATCACTCAGATTTTGGAAAGCGCATCGAGAGCTCATCGAGATCGTTAACGTTGATTTCTGTGGCTTGAAGACTGCTCCTTTTTGTTGTGTGTGCTTTTTCCCTGTGAACATCTGGGTGTGTATATCAAGCGGCAAGATGTCCAGTAATGTCCCGGCGGATATGGTGAGTGAAGGCTAAGTTATGACACCCTTTGATTTAATTGGGGTTTCCAATTTTATTTAATCAGGAAGAATGCAGACAGGGGGCGAGGGTTTGCAGGGGACTGTTGAAAGGCCACCACACTGGGAGATTTGGAGAAGTTGGAGGTTCTGGTTTCCTCCTTTTAGAAAGTTCCGCTTTTAGTATGGGGTTTTTCATTTGGTTGAGGGTGTTTGTTTGTTTGTTTGTTTGTTTGTTTAAATCATTAAAGACAATGGAGAAGTCGGAAAAATGTAGCGAGGTAGCTTGAAGTGGAGATCTTTCTCTGCTGGAAGTCTCAGAACACGTGTAACTTGTATCTCAAAGCTTCGGAAAAAGACAGTTGGCGGCGGGCAGAGCCGCAGACTAGCGTCCCTGCTCGTTGCAGGCGGAGACGGGAGCACGGGAGTCTTGCTCCCTGGCACTGACTAGCTCATTAATGCGCTGGGTACAAACTTGATCTTTGCGAGAGGGGGGTCACGTGTCTCTTCAAGAAAAAGTCCACGAGAATTTGCAGGGAGCCTTCGAAGTATCTCGGCGAACAAGGATGGCAATAGATATATTAAGAGGTTTGGTAATTTTCACAAATCTGAGCTGACCGTATATTGGGATTTGTAAAGAATATTCCAAGACTTTTAGTACCAAATATTTGGTTGTACATGTTATATCATTGGACTTTTAAAAGCTAATGAAACGTGTTATTGAGCCTTGATCTTTGAATGTTGAGAACTCAAAACAAAAAGTATTCTTGTTATCTGTGCCTTCGTTTTTGTTTGTAAACGTTAAGGTGGTGAATTTGTTCAGTACCAGTAGCAGCAGTGTCAATTTACAGGGTCCTGGGAGTAGGTTTGTGTGACTGTGAAATTAAGCTTTGCTGTCCTAGGGACAAGCATGATGCAGTTAACAAGAAGATGAATAATCTTGCTTATGGAAGAATTGATGTTAACATTGTTACATTTTCTTACATTTAGTTAACATTTGAATGTTCATGTGTTTCAGCAAAGAAACAAAATTGAACTTTAGTGATTACATCTTAAAATGTCAGGTGTTTCTAAAGGAGCAAACCTCATGACTAGGCTTTAAAATAATTTAAAAAATCAAATGACTCTAAATGGCATATTTGACCTTGATTTATAGACATTTTGCTTCTGTTGGATTTCCCTTTCAATGTGCTATTTAAATGTGGAGGAACCACAACATTCTGTCTCTTGGGTGGCCACTTAGCAACCTTATGCTTTCCTTCCTGAGTTTTAAAACTCTGCATTATCCTTTTAGTTTTCCCTGTCCTTCTGCCCACTTAAGGAGTTAGGCTGGACATGGTTTTCTCTTCCTCTCTAGAAGTTGCCTGGAGAGGTCTTTGGACTGAGCTGGAAAATACTGTTTCCCATTTGTTAAGTGTTTGGGCTCATCACCTCCAGCAAAAATTTGCTCTCTGTAAAACCTCCATTTTATGTCATCCTGCACACTGCAAGATATGTGCACTATTCTGTCACAGAGTTAGAATGAAATAGATTTGTGTCATCATTAAAACAGTCCCTCTACTCTTTTGGGGCCCAGTGTTGAAAAGCCGGAATGTGCGTAGCATCAGTCACAAACTGAAATGATTTGGGAGTACTGTTTCCATGTCAGAGGTTTGGGAACTAATGTTTGGATTACAGGACTGGAAAGTAGTGGCAAGGTTTTATTAATAGCTGCAGTTATTGTTGTTTTAAACCGTATTTTAAGGCCTTAATGCTTCTGTGGTGCTTTGAGATCCCTTGATTAAAGGTGATGTGCAAGGGCACAGCAGTATTATGTAATAAACATATAATATCCTGATGATGCTATTTCAGAATGTGTCTAGGGCTCAGAACAGGTGAGATTGTTCTGCTTATTTTTTTGTTTTTTTTTTTTTAGCTGTTCAACTTGTTGAAGGTCTTGAGGAGATTTTTGTTTCCCTCCCATGATAAACCTTTTAAACCTTTATTTGGTATTTGTATTTTTAAGAAGTGCCATCATTTGATATGCTCCTGGAATTCTCAACTCTTTGCAATATAATATGGTAAATGCTGGTTAGAAGTTGTCCATCAAGTGCTTCATATTTTTAAATTCTTCATAGCAATAATGACAATTAATTTGCATTTCTTGTTCACGACTTTGAGAATAGTTTTACCACCACTCTGAAAAGCATTAGCCTTACCACCCCCACCTCTTTCTACAATCTATTTCCCTTGCAGCGTAGCTTTAAATTGATTAGGATAAGTGCTTTTGCAAGTAAAAATACATACACTTTTTTTTTGCTAGGTGCAGTACAATTTTCAACTTTATAAATGGTGACAGCTAGTACATGCTATTTAGAAACCAACGTTGCACTCTTTTTCATGTTAGTGGAGCTTGTCAGTCGTATAGCAAAATCCTATTTGGCAGATGAGGTGGGGCAATGAAGTTACAACCCCTGTCATATTTTCATTAGAGATAATTTATTCTCGAGCTATAGTTATTGCTAAATCAATTGTTTTTGGAAAGTCTTATGGCAATAATTGTGATTCACTCTAAACTTGATTTTTAGCATCTTTTTTGCTTTTGTAAATATAACATTTAAAATTTATTTTTAAACATTCAATAATTTTTTGTTTATCCTAAGGTGTCTTTTTTTTTTAATAATCCGAATTTAGCAAGTTGATTTTGGGGAAGGGGCGTAGAGCCCCTAGTGAATGGATTTGCTGTACTCTTTAAAAAAAATGATTCGTAGTTGATACTTTTCCAAATAACATTCTATAAATATGTCCTATAAATAATATAAATGAATTTACATAAAATATTTGCTTTTCTTTTGCCAAGAGTGAGTTCGAACTAAGAGATTTACTACCATTCCAGTGTAATAACTTGTTAAAAAATCTGGGACTATCTGAACAGAATATTATTATAATACATTGTATTTAAATGATTCACTTCCTTTATTTTTTTCCTCAGCCCAAGTCACAGGTCATGATGGGCCAGTATTCATTGTTTATAATTGTAGCATAAATTATGTTAATGATTGTAGATTTCCTGAAAGATAATGTTTATCTGTTAGTAATAAGGCCTAAGGCTAGGTAGATTAAGTGGTAATTTTATCTTCTGCATCAGGAAAGTTATGAAGAAATAAATTGTATTTATAAAGTATTATATAAAACATTTGAGCTACTATTCAGAGCTTTGGGCTTAAAATTTTATTTGATGATATCTGTAAAATTGAAAACCCTACCTAAGAGAGAAATTTACAATTAGTATGAGAATAATGCTAAAGAAGTTTTGATATTTTAAACATTTAAGACGATAAAACAGTTAAAAGCCCTGTATCTTTTTGAACTACTAATGTAGAAATTGTAGTAGATGTAAACATTTTTAGTCTGGGATGAGATAATGATAATTTCAGTGTTCTCCACCCTTATTATATTTATCACAATGTTGTATCTCTTTCATTTGTGGAAGAAATATTGGAGCCCTCTGGTGGACAGGAAATTCCTAAAATGAATATCCTTTCAAAGTGAACTTTTACCACTTTTCCAAGTTAAAGTAAAATGACAGGTGTTGCGTATATTAGGGGAAGTGCTACGGTAGAAAAAGGTCTAGAGAATAGAAAGTCTTTAACTTTGACAGAAGAGAATATTAAGATCTGGTGCCCCAAATAATTCTTTCCTTATAGCACCTTTTAATTTTTCTTTCTTTTGCCAGA